TTTACTGATTTGGTAGTTGGTCGCAAGTGGTCGCAAGCTTGTCTATCTTGCAAAGGGTTTCAAGTTAGATTCTCTTGTGACTGCATTAAATAGGTATCTATATTTTCAATACAACGTCACATGTGATATCTTGTGATATTTTCTACGTCAAATATTCAACTTATTCTTTTAATTGTCAAGCGTCGCATGTAAGGCCTATAGTACGTGGAATTCATTCATAAGATATCTGGCAGAAAGTGTAACATAGAATTTTATCCTGTATGTAGATAATGACAACCAGACCAGAAACAACAGTTTGTGAATCACATAAAGAGTTGCTCCGTGTGGGAATCGAACCCGCTACAATTCGCGCGGCAGCTCTGACGGATGCGACTGCACCACTAGATGTCGACCAGCTACCGCGCCATCCATGTAGTCTCGTCAGTCGTATAATCACCATTATCTTTACACTTCTTTATAGATATAGGGACAGCTGTATTCAATTAAAATATTATCATACTATACATTGTCTCGTTAACCTTTGTAATTTGGATTATTTCCGATTTGATATCGATGTTCTTTAAATTCACTAAGACAATTGAACAAAGGTCCATATTCATTGACTTTTTAAGGTCAATGTGTTCAAGAATCTTTAGAAAAGTATCTAATCATAAGTTTTTAACCGATTGAAAAAAGAAAGAGGTTCTAAGTTTCACTTGTATGTGTTTGTGCGCGATTTAACTCATGATTGGCTGAACCGATTTTAGTACCGTTTTCAGACAAGTTTCTTACTCTTGGAAGAAAGGAAAGGTTTACTAAGTATATTAATTAACTGACTTCAAACAAGAGAGGGGGCTGTAGTCAGATTTTTTAAACGTAGTTATAGAAAGAATTATTATTCTTTTGAAATTGAGTTTAAGATTTAGTTGTCTATTATTTATGCAACTTAATTTTAATATTTTGAATATATTATTTGAAGATATTGAATATATTAATATTAAGTTCTTTAAGTATGTTTCTAACAATTGACATAACATAACATAACATTACGCTTTTTATCCCCGAAGGGGTAGGCAGAGGTGCACATTATGCCACTGTACAATGTAACACCCACTTTTCACTATTTATGTTATGAGTCCCATGTAATAGGGGGTGAGCCTATTGCCATATACCGGGCACAATTCCAGACTCCGTGCTACTACTGAGATTTTTTTTTAAAAACTCAGTAATATTTTGCTCGACCCGGGAATCGAACCCGAGACCCCTTGCCCGGCAGTCGCACTTGCGACTACTCGGCCAACGAGGCAGACAATTGTCAAAAGTCTAACAATTGACATTGGTATTAATTAACATATACGTTAGCATAATGATTTTGCAATACGTGCCTACTGTATATCAATATGAATTTACAATAATAATATCATATATACTTGTTTTCATAATTGCATCTAACATACGTCATTAAACAAAACAAACCATATTGTATTAGAAATTCGACTTTATCTCTGACACCAAACTGACAAATTTTCCCTGCATACTGTAAACAATTGAGATCTTTCCAATTGCATTTGTTATTCTGAAATCAACTCTAAACAAAATACGGTACTTACAGTTGATATTGGTTTGAAAAGGTATTGTATATAAAGAGATGTATTATCGTAAATAGAAAATTAAAGGAATTCTATTGCATTATGTACCTGTGTATCATAAAATATTGAATACTGAATATTTATAGTAAAGTGTAAACCATACATTATACATTTACGGATAATAAACATGAATTACATAAGGTCTTCGGTTTTTTAAACGTTGCTTCACATTGGGATATTTCTGTTTCGTGGCTGAGTTTACAAATATACAATATAACAAATCTACACATTACGACACCCAGTCCTGAAAAAATAATTTGTTGGTTACACAAAGTTGCCGCGTGCGGAAATCGAACTCGCTACTCGTTGCACGGCAGCTGGTTACACAGCTGCACCAATCGTGTAGTCAACATAGTCATATCAAATCATATACATATTACACCAGTTTCAAAGTTCAAATTCCTTTGGAAAAGAATAAACAAAAAACTCCATGGTTCCCCTTTTCCAATCAGTTTAATTGGAAATAATCTATTTTTTTTGAGGGTATCATCCAATGACTTCTCCCGCCTTGAAAAAGGCGAGAGGAAGTGTCAGACTCTTACTGACTACAAAAACCACCCCGTTCCTATTACTTCTGCTGTTTGAGCCGGAGCCCCGGCAACCTGTTAAGTCTTTCGTGGCTCCGTATCGGGCATCAGCCCTACTGGCCCCATCTGTGGTGGGGCTGATAGCTCTTTAAGTACCCGTACGCTTGGGTCTGGTTCTGGTCGGACGCCGAGTGACCGGAGATAATTGGAATGACAGGGTATGAAGAAAATTAAAAATGTAATCAGTCCGTATGTTAGGTAATTAAAAAATATTAGACACGGTTTTTTTGTCCTATAATAAAACAATATTTATATGAAACGAAACAAAGTTTAGGAGTGGGGGCTAAAACGTTATTTCTACGTATACAATGTACATAGAAGTGATGTCACGCGACATTTCAAATCAATGTATCGTCGAAAGTATTCGTTTCTGTAAGAAAATAAAAAAATACATGTCCAATGATTTAAAATAATCTACCAGACGGACATTTAAATAAAAATTAGGCATCTACCCTATTGAAATGAATCTAGATTTTTGACCAATATGGTTACAATAGTCATATCATTTATATTTCACATATCAATGCCATATTGATATAATATTTCAAGGGAAATTACTGCAATCATACTAATTATGGAGTTTCGTATAACCGATTATTTACATATATATACCAGGAAATGTGTAATGTAACAGAACATAGAGATATCATTATAATTGGACAATTTAAATACATTATAAATGTATTATTCTAAACTAAAATATCTACATCCTTGTTTAAAATGTAGGTACTTGCATAAAAAACAGTAGTTTTGCCTGTGGTTCTACTCATTTCTGTTTAAGTTCTAATCTACTTGATTAATAATATCCTTAGCAATCGTTAAAGTTACAGCTTTTCAAAAAATAATCAATATTGGTTCAGTAATTTATGCGCTGTAAACAAATTCATATACTACTTGTAATTTAAATACCCCACGTGATTTCTAATATAACAAGCGAAAACCGTCTCAGCGAAAAAAGTGTTTACAATTCTAATTTCCTTTATAAAAAAGCAGTTTAGTTAGGCTAACGACTCACGGCGCAAGGCCCGCAGCTTTGGAGAATATATTATACTAGCTTTTACCCGCGGCTTCGCTCGCGTCACAAAAGGATAAAAAGTAGCATGTGACATATACCAATACATACAGCGCCATCTATACCAATACTTTGTTTTTCCTCGGGAATATAAAATTTTTCCGGGTTAAAAAGTACCCTATTACCTATTATTCAATCCGGACTTCTAACTTTACGTCTGCAAAAATTTAAAGCAATCGGTTTAGTAGTTACGGCGTGAAAGCGGAACAAACAAACAAACAAACAAACTCACTTTCCGATTTATAATACATAATAATAAGGATATGTATATAAAAAATCATAGTTTGCACGACGCGTTTTACGCCCGCGGCGGTTGCGATTGTTTGCCGATACCGCTGCACCGGCGGGCGCGACCGCGGTCCCACAGCCGCGGCGGCTAGCACCCGCGCGCTCTGCGATCGGTTGGCAGGCGATCGCAATGATACGGCCGGTCTGGAACTCAACTGATTGTTTAACCGCCCTCACGTCTTACGATAATCAACCGCCAAGTTTGTGAGCGCCAATCGCAACCGCCGCGGTTGCGGGATTTACAGAAAACTGCGGTCTCGTGAGTTTTGGAAATTCCACCTCCATTCCGCCACCACGGCGGGCGCGGGAGAAGATAGCGCCGTGTGTCCTTAGCCTTATAATAAAAACGCCTTATTTCGCTTTGTACAATAATCACATACACACAATAAACGTCAGCTGCTAGTCAGTTGATAAATTATAATGAAGCATTCAAATTTCACGTGAATATAATTAAAATACATAGGTAACGTTGGTCAAATATTATTACTATATTATTATCGTAATTACAATACCTATCTATACCACTAATATACGTAAACAAAGTGATTGATTGATTGTTTTCTTGTGTTGAATAGGCTCGGAAACTACTAGACCAACTTTAAAACCAGTAGATAGCTTACTTTTTAGGGAGGAACATAAGCTACATTTCAACACAATATTATTTTAATAACTTTCACGGTTTAAAAATAGATATTATATTATTATCAGAATGAGGTATACGTGTGCCGACTTTGTACTTCGCATTGTGATATTTTACAAAACAAACAAATTAATTTTATAGATAAAATATAGTTAATTAACTTTAATTGGGATTAACTGATGAATGCGTGACTACTGAGCACTGGGTATATAGTACAGTACAGTTACTGTAGATAACTATATTACGGCTGGCTTTATCTATCTTATTGCAACATACACATATAAAGCTAGTTGTTCTCGCATGGTTTCACCCACTCTACTCCGCTCCTATCGATCATAGCGTAAAATTTTAGCTTATAGCCTATCTCGATAAACGGACTATCCAATACAAAAAAGAATTATTCAATTCGAACCAGCAGTTTCGGAGATTAGCGCATACAAACAAACAAACTCTTCAGCTTTTAATAAAAAAAGAATATATTTTAATATAGAATCTATACACGAATACTACTAATAAGACATAATTACTTAATTATGGTTGTTACTCTTAAAATTGTTTCACGAGGTATCTCGACTTATTTCGAGTCACGCTAGGGACTTATAGTCATCACTCAACTAACTCTTCTTGGTCTATTGCCTCCGAGAGGCTCACAAAAGTACGATCACATAATAAAATTAACACTCTACGACATATATATCTGTAATAGATGATATTATTAGTAAAATGCAATCAAGTAATCAAAATGTGTAGAAATAACCAATAAGAAAACTTCATCTTGATTTCAGCGCGAGACTTTCAAGACGACGGCGACGAGGATCCTGATCTCCTAGTGCCAGCGATCCCAGAAGACACTCCTCAGATCCCCTACAGTCCTCCACAAAGGTCTGATGATGAGATCCTGCAGAGGTCACGGGAGTACTACGAGCTGATGGCTGAGAGGAGAACCGTGAGGTCTTTCAGTCCAGAACCAATACCACAGGAGGTGCTAGATAATCTTATTAAAACCGCTGGTGAGTTCTTCTTTAATCTAAAGAATATAATGATAAATATAATCTATTTATACAAATAACAATGAATTCCCGTTCGTTAGGCTCGCTAAAACTTGAGAACGGCCGAACCGATTTGGCCAATTGTTGAAGTCTAGGGAAGGTTTAAGGGGTCGTACACAAAACTGCGATGCGATGCGATGTGATTTCGCAACGCAAAAAGGCAACGCAAAAAATTACGATGCGAATTGCTGCGATGCGATTTTGATTTTTAAGGGAGACTCCTTGTCGCACGAAATCGCATCGTAACTTTTTGCATTGCGAATTCGCATCGCAGTTTTGTGTACGAGCCCTAAATGGTAAGAAAAATCCTTTTAGGCAGTAACGTTCGAAGTTTGCTGACATGACTTGCTGACATGACAGACTGACAAATAACGTACAGTTATAATTTAACTTAACGCAAAAACTTGTAATTTGGCATGCATACTGTACAATCACAAAAGAAGATTTCTTGAAAATCCCAAGGGAACAGATATAACCGAAATCACGTTTTGTCACGTTCGCACGCTGGAACTACTCAAGGAATTTTGACGAAATTTTGAACACAGACTTTGTATCCCGATTAAATGCCCCCGTGCCAATGCAAAACCGCGGGTAAAAACAAGTATAAAATAAAACGAACGCTAAATTCAAATTTATTTTGAAAAATATGCATAAAATAAGATAAAAAATTCATTTTCATCAAAAACCTAATACCACACGCTGTGTGTGGTGAAATACATACACAGTTCTTTATCTCTCACATCTTCCCAAAACCCTGCAGCAGTTCTATCAAAATCCTCTACTTTATTCGCCGCCATCACGTAACTTCTAGGAAACATTCCTTTTCTTACAGACCGTATGAACTTTTTCACTTCTTTAACTTTAAGTTCCTCTTGACACCCATCATCTGTGCGGCCACATTTATCGATATGAATCACTCTAGTACCAGGAATAGCTATCATGTATACATTGCCATCCCACTTTTTAAAGCCAACATGTCTGAGCGAACTGTCCCAGTTATAGTCATTGTGGTTACAAAACTCCTCGCTGTTGGACTTCAAGGAATTCCAAGTCTGTCTATCAAATGCAATACCCGATCTGTATGATCTGCCGGTCCAAATTTCTACTGATACCAAGGTCTTCTTCGTGTAGCTTGATAAGTCAAGGTCATATGCTCCTAAATTTATGACTTCGCAGAACGTAAAATGCGAAAGCCTTACCTTTTTCAACAATTTAAAGACGTAGAGAATATCTGGAGTAACAAAGTCGCCATCTTCCAGAAATAGAACAGTGAACTGCTTGATAGACCTCGTAACGTTTAAGTTATCGAACACTTGGTTGACAGTCCACCACCAGTGTTGTTTCGATTGAGCCGCTTCAGGGTCTCTAGCTTTTGATTTTTTACAAACGTAACCCTCGGAGCAGTGTTGACCATCTGTCCCAGGAAATACATTGGGATGCAACTGTATGGAGTATGGAAAGAAAATTTGTATGTATTTAGCAAATTTAATGTTACGTATGAGGGCGTTTATGCTCTCACTGAAGTAATCGTGTGAGAATATTATGAAAGCATCTTTGATCCCGATTGCGGTCTTCAGTGATAATAAAAGCTGACTGAAATAGTAAGTATCCGAATGGACTAGTACGACTATAACATGTGAATCTAAATTACTTTTAAAGTGTCCTAGGCGTGTGTTGTGTACAGTCTGCGCCAAGTTTATGTTTTTGATTTGAGATTTTATGTTGAGTATCTGTCGCATGGTTTGCATCTTATCTTTGATCCTTGCTGCTACGTAGTCCGTATACGTACTGTTATCACTGACATCGTCTTGGTAGTTGTAAATAATATCTCTCGTCTGTTTTTTAATCAACGAAACTTTCAGGTACACTTTAAAGCATATGGTGGACATAAAAATGACGAAGAAAACGATACAAACTCGAACAAAACGTTGTGGTCTGAATATCGGCATGTTTTACTCACAATCATGAAAATTAGTACTAAAAATTTAAATAACCATCACTTAAATAGATAAATGATTAAACTCGGAAACTTTATGTAAATACTCCAAACAGAAGACATAATAAAAGTCAGTTTTGATATAATTATTTGACATATCATAGATATACTAATCATAGAGTTTAGAGATCTTATCCTCGTAGAAACTTAACCGTTGTCTTCACTATTGTCTTTCTGTAATCCAAAATGGTATAATTAATTCGTAGATGGTCTCTTAAATTCCAAGGAATCCCTAATCTTTCACTTGTATTTTGTTACTAAAAAAGTAAAATAAATTAACAAAATATAATTAACAGCCCGTCCCGGTTTCGCACAAATGATGGAAAAAATATATTTTACTTGCTTCTGCTAGCGGCTCCGCACGCGTTTTAATGGGTTAAAAAGTGGTCCATGTACTCGTATTATTCCAGATCCTACCTCTGTTCCAAATTTCATACAGATCCCTTCACCCGTTTTACCGTGATTGAGACTCACAAATTGGCTCACTAACTTTCGCATTATAATATTAGTTGATAAGATTGTAAGATTGCAGTCGAATCGTAGCTTTATTTTGTTGATTATAGTAATTTATTGATTTATATTTACTTAATGTTTAGTACGTTACGTACTTTATAAGCAAGCTAGTTTTAGAAAGTGGATATCGCAGTAATATTTCCAGATTTCTTAACAAACTGGATTTATCAGGATTTCCTGCAGAAATATACGAGTGAAACTGGAAAATCCTGCCTGTTTTATTTATTTATACGTAGGTATATTGTGTAGTAACTGGTAACTGTCATTAATCTATGGATTAAGTAGGAATTACTTGCTGCTTGCTTAATAAAACTTAAGTGCTACATAATAGAGATTCTATCTACTTTAGTTGACAAGTGCTGTTGTTATCCCTGGTGGTAGACTGTAACCAGATGTTCGACAACTTGCTCCACATTCTTCAGCACTAGCAGCAGCAAAATAAAAATCATTACTTAATTTTTATCAACGTTATATTAGAACCAAACACTTTGGTTGGCAAAATGCAAACAGAGCTCGTGGTCCCTGACATCGCTCCAATAACCTGATCCTGTACTGTTGTAGTCTTTCCCAAGAACCACCTCAACTTTAATTCTTCCAGGGAGCAATTTTTCGGAAACCAATTGAATAAACTGTCTGACTTCCTTCACTTTGTGCTGTAATTTACAACCAATTTCGTTCTTTTCACAATCCTTTATAGTAAACACTCTAGGACCGTCTGAAGCGATTAAATAAATATTTCCAGCCCATTTTTCAGCTCCAATACGTTTTAAAGAACGATCCCAATTTGTATCATTATACAAACAAAATATTTCTTTCCAAGTTTTGATATTATTCCAAGTCTTTCTGTCGAAGGCTATGGCTGTTTTTGGTATTTTGTCCGTCCACATTTCTACCGTTATAAGGCTCTTTGTCCTATTATACTGCGATAATTCAGGATTGCGTGCTGCCAGACTTATGATCTCACAAAAAGAACAGCGTCTCTTCTGTAATAGTATCAGTAACTTATACGTAATTAAAAGGTCAGGAGTTACATAATTATTACCTTCTAAAAATAGTATAGGTCCTGTGTAATTTTCCAACACGGCTAGATGATCGAAGATTTGATTGGCTTGCCACCAGAAATGGTGTTTTGATTGAGCTGCTTCGGGATTTCTAAACATTGATTCTACGCAGTGTAGTCCCTTGATGCAAGACTTCGGTTCAGGGCCAGGAAATATATTTGCATGCAGTTGTATTGAATACGGATAGAAGATTTGCATGTACTTTGCAAAGTCGATTTCACTGATCAATTTATTCATTTCATAACTGTAGTGGTCGTGAGAGAAGATTAAGAAGGCAGACTTGATTAATAGAGTGTATCTTAGAGAATTAATGAGTTTCTTTAAAAGGTAGATATTGGAATGGCATTGTATGACGATGACGGATGTACTTTCTTTAATGGGTCCAAAGTGCTTGTTATGGATAGTTCGCATTATGTTTAAACACTTTATTATTGCCCTAACTTTGTTCATATTTAGGTACGTTCGTTTAGTTCCGCTAAATTTTAATTCATCTACCTCCTTGCAGTCCACGTTGTAAAGGTGATCAATGAAGTCCTGGCGATCCTTTTTAATATACACAATTTGATGAAAGGCCCCGTAAATTACCATCATTGTAATAGTAAATAAGATAATTGAAATACTAAATAGGAAAATTGAAATGTAACCACGTGTTGCCAATAGCATGATTATATATTAACTTTAACTAAGAATTTCGAGTGATTTTATTTAAAAATAAACATATTACTATTACCACAGAATAAACAGACACAAAAATTCAATGAATATGACATTTCGAGATTTTTTGCACATTTTACAATGGGGATGTGACCACTATCGAATTTTGACGTGAAATTACCGGTTATTCAAATTATCGATTTTTATGTTTTTACAATACCCCAAGTAAATTGAATAATAAATTGATAGGTACTCCTATACTCCCAAAAATGTATCAGTAGAGTCTTTTGAGATACTGATGTTTGCGATGAGAATGCTTGAAATTCATATCAGTACCTACATATTCTGTAAGCATATGACAGAAGCCTACCAAAGAACATACTTCTGAAAAGATTCAAATACTTAACCTATTTACCTCATCTCAATAAACTCCTCCTATAATTCCAGGAACATCACCATCAGGTGCTCACACAGAACCTTGGACGTTCATCGTGGTCCAGGATCCAGAAATGAAATCTGCTATACGGGAGATAGTAGAAGAAGAAGAAGAATTGAATTACAACCAGAGAATGTCGCGGCAGTGGGTGACGGACCTGAAGCCATTTGCCACAAAGCCTGTGAAGCCATACTTATCTGATGCTCCAGCATTGGTGCTGGTCTTCCGACAGACGCACTCTTGGAGGGAAGATGGAAAGAAGAGGATGCACTACTATAGTGAAATCAGTACGGCGATAGCTGCTGGAATATTACTTGCTGCTATCCAGGTGAGGGCTGGCAAATTATACAGCAGATAGGTTTCGTTGACTCAATGATCCCCAGAGGCCCATGATATGATATTTTGTTTTTAGTATCTTAAACATTTTTAATGTTATTGGTGATACAGTAACTCTAAATACATCACATCTTCTTAAGTCTTCTTATACCTCATACAATACAATACGTCATTATATATACTGGACGTATATACGTATACGTACCTATCCCTCGTTCATTTTTGAATATCGAAAAAAAAACTTTATTTAAACAAGTGATCGAACTTGAGCCCTCTAGAAGGATCACACATACGATTATTTGAAAAATATTGACAAATAATCCCATCTGTTATAGCCAATCATTTTCACCTTCACGTGCCCTTCTCCCAAATCGCCAGAAACTATCTATTTCTAACACCATAATATTTTATTTCTGTGAAATCACTTCATAAAATGTGTTGTGTGTTTTCTTTGAATGAATAAGCCCTATTCATTGTAAACATGAAATAAACTATTCATAGATCAAAGCGTTTATTTCTGCTTGTTCATTATCTACTGTTCGCTACTTTGACCTTGAGCAGTAATGTAAGCTAAATCAAAACCAATAAAAGTTCTATGCCAGTTTTCACAAATTTTAAGGAGACTTCCAAGCTCAACTTTGACTTTAACGCCATTTTTATTTTCATCAACCTATATGTGACACATAACAGTGAAAGTAAGGATTAGTTTAAGTGCTACGTCACGTTTAGTAACTTTTAGTTAAGTGACTGTTTAAGGGTGCTTGTTGTAAATGGCCATTAATGTCCTAACTTCGTCCCAAATTAAGTTAAGATACTTGGAGTACTGAACCTTATAATTTGCTATTATTATATCATTTCGTTCTTAGTAGGTTTTGGATGCTCCATGGTCGCTCCACGTAAATACTGAAATTCAGAAAAAGCTGACTAAGACACTACCATCATCATCACCAAATAGACTGTTGACCCCAAAATCAATTTGGAAAAAGGGCAAGAGAAAGATTTTTATGTCACGTAGAGAAGCTGACCACCACCCATTTTTATAGGATAAACGAGCAGACGGATCACCTGATGATAAGCAATCGGCATCGCCCATGGACACCTGGAACACCAGGGGCATTAAAAGTGCGTTACCGGCCTTTTGGGATTATGAATTTGACGATTGTTAGGGATTCAGAGATTTGGCCTCCGGTAACCTCACTTACACGACGAAACACAACGCAAGTGTTGCTTCACGTCGGTTTTCTGTGAGGTCGTGGTGTCACTCCGGTCGAGCCGGCCCATTCGTGCCGAAGCATAACTCTCTAACACTTATACCCTCTCACTACAACCCGTACAAAGACTCTTAGGAAGAGATTTTATCAGATTTTTAAGGCTAAGGCTAGGCTAAGTACATTAAGGCGTAGGAAACTCTGATTATGAATAGCCACCCCATCCTTGCATAAACCTTCACAAAGGAGAATCCTGGTTGCAATCAATTTGTGACTGAAGAATATCGACCTAGAAAAACATTTGATATCCGCTGACTTGAAACATTTATATGGCCTCGTTTTGTTGAATAAGGTTAAAGCGTAGAAAATGTTTTACGCAGCGCCATATTAAATTGCCATGATAAATAAGAATTTCTTCTACAGCTGTTACAATAAAGGTCACATTCCAATGTCAAGTGATAAGTTTGTTGAGTCTGAAATACTCTGGCACTAATTTAATTTGCAAGTTAATAGTTTTAGCATAAACAAATATAAATTACGTAGGAAAATACTACACTGTCTTGTCGTATTGTATTATCTGAATGGGTAGGCAGCGGTATATAGTCTACGTGTTAAATGTAACGCCTGCATTTCATCAGCTATAAATGCCACACACAATACAAGGCAAGCTTTGACCTTGGGGTGGTCATAATTATGCAGTGTTTGCCCATTATTCCCTATTATTTTGGCAAGAGAATTGCAATACAATATTTTGAGGAGTCCAAATGTGCTTCTCTTCTAATTTATCTTCTTGGTTAATCTAATATTCTAAATATTTTTTTTTCCAGTACTGCGGTCTGGTAGCCCTTACTTCAACACCATTAAACTGCAACGCGCGTCTCCGAGACCTGTTGTCCAGACCTGTGAATGAAAGACTAGAGCTCCTCCTACCAGTGGGAAGACCACACAAGGAAGCCACGGTTCCAGACCTTCAACGAAAGAAACTTGAAGAAATTATGGTTAAGATATGATAAAAGTCTGATTTTGTGATAATTTTGTATGTATATAATGCTCCTATCTTACGGGAAGGTGTTATCTATTAGATAAGTGTGTTTGCATTCCCGTGGAATGCTGTTTATATGTTACAAAGTCTGATAGGCACCCGAGTTACTTTTGTATAGAATCGCGGATCGTTATTTTGATAAATTGTATTGAAATAAATACCTAATTACAAAAGTTCAATCAAGTGTGTATAATGTGTTTTTGTAACAGTGAGGTAGGATACAGACAATCGTTTCTGTATTCGATGCTCTCATAGAAAATCCAACTATAATACCTGTGACTGAAACTTGTGTCAGTTTGCACTTGATGCAACTACCAGCATCATATGAAACATTTCAAAGTAAAAACCATTTTTAATGCAAAAATGCGTAAATAAAACATCTAAAAACATTATTCAACATTATTATATTCATTGCACGTACACTCCGATAAATTTAACTAGCACAAGCCTGCACGATTGGAGTTCAGCAGCGGCGGCGTCTACGGCGGCGTCCACAACGGCGGCGTCGCTTGCGCCGACAGCTTCGGCGGCGACGGCGTCGACTACAGCTGCGTCGCCGTCTGCGGCGGCAGCTGCGACGGCGGCGACGACGCTGTCAACATTAACATCAGTTGAGCTCCGTCAAATGTAGAAGTGCCTTTTCACATGAGCCGATTGCCGATGCCGGGAATCCGGGTGGCGATGTGCATACCCTTATGTTAGGGGTTTAAACTGAGTAGTCGACAACTAATCGTGTGAAAAGGGCCTAGCTCCAGTTAGGTGCATCGGCGTTACTCGCATTGAATAGCAGTAATGGCAAAATAGCCGTTTTTTTTTATCGACCCAATTTGGGGATGTTTGGGATAAGCTTTGTGTTCTAAGCATTTCTTAAATCACGAACATTGTGCTACAGTTTGTGTCTCATCCTAAAACTCGTTAGTTTAGTAACAGCTACAAATTATTAGACAATAATATATTTACACAACACGATCGACGGCGGCGGCGACGAGGGCAGCACGTCTTGCGACGACGGCGGCGGCCGCAGCGGTCGGACGGCTCGCCGGACGAGGCGCGGGAGAACGACCGTGTACGATGTACACACTTCTCACCGCCAGCTCCACCGCCCCCGCCGCGTCTACTATGTAAAACAATAATTCTTTAGAAACAATTTTATTTGTTATTAAAATATTGCGTGGGTCCTATTTGTCCAATTACTGTAGCTGTCCCAGTGTCAAACCATTGGACAGTTGACTTTGAATTTTGTATTGGACAAACAGCAGCTGTAGCCAAATGCCATTTAGCGCTTGTCTACATGTAGAATAGAAAACCAAATTAAATGGAATTAACGCAAATTTTGACACTTGTGTCATCCCCATACATTTTGATTTGTACTCTCTCTGTAGACAAGTGCTAAAGTGGCGCTTGGCTAAAGGCCCAGGACCTCACGCTACATTAGCATCATCTAGTGAGCGTAAAACGATAGCACTTATTAACTCGTCGAGTAGCGTCATTATAGACACAATTATAGAACAATAGGTTGCGGTCACCGGTGACCGCTTGGTGTTTGACAGTTTAAAGGAGAAAAGTGTCGCGCTCTCTTCTTAAAGCATGCTATTTTATATCTTACTAGTAAGCTAGTTAGCTTCTGCCAGTGGCTATCCGTTCCTGGGGGTAAAAAGCAGCCTATTACTCGACACCATAATCAACCTTTGTTCCAAACATCCAGGTCCCTTAAGACAGTTTTGATAAGACCGAGTAACAAACAGACAGACGAGCTCACAAATTATCGCATTTATAATAAATAACGGTTTAAGCTTATTTCGACCATCAGCCCTACAGAATACAGCGTAAGATCCACTGATGGCAATCTTCGAGAAACTTATTTATATTTGGTACAGTAACTATGTCTAGGAATCGAGCATCGAGTCGCATAATTAAGTTTGTTTTTAGTGTATATATTTTTACCCAGTGTGATGCCCAAAATATTAAAGTATAATACACCAAGTTTCATCGTAACATACAGACAGACATTTGGGTTTGGTGTCCGTCTAGTAACCTACTATTTTTTTGTTATATTTTCAATGTACAGAATATAAATACACTTCTGCAGTTTTATTATATGTATCGTTACTAGTAGACAGATAATAGTTACCTCCTACTCATGCGGTCTTCATCATTCCCGGCATGTTCTCTGGAAGAAGAGTTAATGGGTGTGAATCTGCAAATAATCAGGGTGTTTCAACCGATATCCCTATATGGGTTTCCTCCAACTACTACTCAGCTGAACAATTCAACATACTGTATGAATCTCAATCACACTACGTCATTGTACAGTGTTATGTAGAAAACGCCTTCGTTAAACCGTCGGTCGCTAAGTTGTTCACCTCGCATATACTTCATGTTTATAAGACCCAGTATGCTTAGAAATCTGTACAGCATTCTTTTGAACAGGTCATGCTAGTGAAGTGGTAATTTGTACTAGAAGTAACCTTTATGACATTTACGTGTAGTGAAATGAAAACTGGTACTCACTGATTATCCTGGGCTTTATCTTTTTGTTCGCCTTCATTCTTTTTCTTCGAGGCGGATGCTGGTTTCCTATCGTGGTGGTGGCCTTGTTCAGAGTGGCGCCGTGCAGCAGCGGCTCGCCGACGCCTGTTCGTATAACAATAGCAAAATTAAGTTTGGGATATGTTGCTCTTACATTTTTGGCAGACACTACTCACGATGTTTACACACTTACTGACCAATCAGTCAATTTGGACAGTGTATTTATTATAATAAGATAATTAAATCGATAACCACATAGGTACTGGAAAAACAAAGAATATCACACAAGGCATACGTACTTTTGCTGAAAATCAACGTAGGTTTTCAAGCGGGCAGTATACCGAGGTGCTTCTGTCTCGCTACGTTTGCGCATAAACACCACCACGTCATCATTTAGCTTCTTTTTCTTCTCATCTTCAGGCTCCATGGTACCGTGGCACCCCAATTTTGGTCACCTGCAGACAACCGAAATGGTCATCATTATTCACCAAATTAGTTTATAAGAGAATCCTGCGAGGAGTAACAGGAGTAATAACTGTCACTAGTCTTTGTTTTTTTATGCAATAGGAGGCAATCGAGCAGGTGGATCACCTGATGATAAGCCATCAGCGCCGCCCATGGACACCCGCAACACTAGAGGAGTCACAGGCGCTTTGCTGGCCTTTTAAAAAGGAATACGCTTTATTTTTGAAGGTTTTAAGGTCGTATGAATGGAATTGGTTCCCCGTGAGGGGAATATATCTTAGCCAGAACTGGGCAAAGAGGCAACACAAATGACAAAACTGCAAACCAGTGTTTTCTCAGATTCCTCTGATATACCTGAGACTTTTGAGATGTGATCTTGATTTTAGCTGTCATTAATTTTGGAGTTATTGGTTCGAAAGGTCTTTTATAAATAGAGTTTACGACTTATTTGGGTATTGGCTATACAGCTGTATTGAATTAAAATATTTTCGTCATTCCGAAGTTTTCAAAGATTTCGATAGCATCTGACAGCCGTATAATACTTTTTTAGCTAACAAACTGAACGCTATATTACACTACGCTACGAACTAATGGTGCTAAGGGTCCTTTCACATCCTCTGGTATCCAAGTGAGCAGATAGTACCCGGATATACAGTAACGCAATGTATAGTCGTACACAATAGCTTTCATGCGTATCACCAGGTTTAACATACATTCATCACAGAATATCCAACAATCCGGCAACTAGACCATGCTAAGGCACTACAACCTAAAGCAATACTAAACAAAATTTCTAAACTACACGAAAAAACATACCACTTGAATGCCTGACGCCCGTACATTATTGTCAGTACTTTAAAATTAAAATTTTCCAAAAACTGTACCTAAAACTGAATAGAAATATTTTTACAATAAAAAAATCTAAAAAGTGCGTGTCATTACAGAAAATTTCTTTGTTTCAACTGAGACTATTCTTCTTATTACGAATTATTGTCACTCGCAGTGCGACAAGAATGTTATGTGCCAGTTACATTACAAAAATGTATTACAAAACTCTTTTTAGTTATTATTTATTTCTTTGATTCGATTCCTCTTTATTGAACTAAGGAGTGGAATTTCTTGCCGGAGTCCGTGTTTCCTGAAGGGCGGGTTTCTTCAAGTCTCGAGTGAATAGATTGCTCATAGGTGAATTTCATCCTTGAGCCCTTCATTGCTTGCTTGCTTTTGTTTCAATGGCTTCTCAATAAATGGATGTGCGTTTGCCAAACCCAGACCAAAAAATATATTTTAAACGACCAGAAAAAAGGTCGAGAAATATTTTAAAGAATTATTTTATATAATAGTATAAGAAAATAAATCTTATACTATTATATAAAACTGAAAAGTTTGTTTTTTTGTTTGTTTGTTTGAACGCGCTAATATCCATAACTACAAGTCTGATTTGAATAATTCTTTTTGTTTTGGATAGCGCATTTATCGAGGTTGGCTATAGGCTATAAAACATCACGCTACGACCAACAGGAATTGGGCAGAGCGTGTGAAACCGCTCATTTTTCAGCAAGTTGTTACATCAAAACACAATTTACGTACCGTAGTATATCCACCTAACACGAATTTTACGTTCAGAGAGGAAAAAATATAGTAAATTTTTCATTATAAACAAATTCGAACCCGCAACCAAGATTAGGCAACTTGATTTATATTCCAATAAACCTTTTTATTGAGTTTACATATTTACATAAGACATGTACTTGAAACGTCCGCCATTTAAAAATCAACCGCTAAATCGCATACAAGAAGAGAAAACGAGATTTTTAGTCCCTTTTTCATAAATGGGTTAATGGGCTGACGACTCGGAAGCATCGTGTTAACATTAAGAATGTATTATTACAACCAAATTACATTTTACGTGGCAATTAAACCTTAACACAGCGTAGTAAAGAACATTTTTCTACGATTACAATGTAAGGAATGTTAAAGTTAAAAATACGTCTTCGGCAACTTTCGGCTGTTTCCGTCGGCGATCGACAAAGCTCGGCAGTGCGCGGCCGCCCGCCCGCCGTACGTGCGCATACGCGTTGGGCGGCGCTAACGGTCAATTAAAATATTCACTGATTTTAATCATATTCATACTTATGCCGTTCATTGAAAAATAATGCGATACATAATACAGTAAAATATTGATTAATGCAATTATTTATGTGAATAAAACAAAAGTATGATAAAGCTTTAAAATAGTTTAACCGTAGTGTCCGAGTGAAAGTGTGTAGTGATAGTGATATGAACGTATATAAAGTGTTATGTGATAATCCTGTGCATACTCAAATATTTATAGACATTAAAAGGATGTACCTATCAATAGAAACCACGATTGTATCAAAATGCATTCCGTAATAAGTTGTCGTGCCGCGCCACCGGACGATGCACGTGTTTTTATTTTCATTTATAAATAGTCCAGACATAAACCGACATTCTACGGCTGCAGTATGACGTCACTAAAAGAGAATAGTGACGTCACTGACGCCGGTAACGTGGAAGAAGAGAAGAGTAGTAAAGTTGAACGAAAAGAGCCGAAAGAGTTGGCCGAACTGCCGCCGAGTGGCACCTCGCTGCATAAGAGACGTAGAGGGGAACCGCCTGCTTCACTATCTGTCAGATCTCCTCAAAATTCTGACCCTGAAGGTTCTTCTCCCTGCACAGCAGGTCCATCCCCTCCAGAGGAATACTGGTCGCCCAACGATGTGGAACTTGCAGATCCTGAAACAATATGCGAGACCATGCTGCAAAGGCTACGAGATCAGAATGATGCCATTTCCAAGCGAGGCAAAGAAGTGGCTGAGAAAACGAAAGACACTATTGAGGCTCTGGATCAGTTAGAAAAGCTGCTAGAACTGCTAGACCAGCTGGTGACCTTAAAAGAACATAACACACGTCTTTTGAAAAGGTTGAAAGACGTGAACCACTTGAAGAGACTCCACAGTGCCCATAAGAGGATAGACAGTGAAAATGAAAAGTTGAGGTCTGAGAGCAAAGAGTTGGAACTGATAAATGAAGCTTTGGATGCTGAGTTTGAGAGTGAATATGGCCAATTGCTCTTTGGCTCAGTTATGGGCAATAGGAGCATGAAAAGGTCAGGATCTAAATGGAAAGGTAACGCCAGGTTTGGAGGATCGCTGCTGAGGAAGCAAAGATCCAGGTCGGCAGGAGGGGATGACAGTGATGTGGCTCCTGGCACTCCTTTGCGAAGGAGATCCGAAGGCATTTTCATGAAAGAAGTGGAGAAGTCTAAAGTTTCAAAATGGACAAGAGTTAAAGCTGCATTTAGGTAAATATTTGTTTTTTACTTTTAGTTGTCAATAGAATTTATAAACTATACCTTAGAAGGATTCATAAATACTTTAAAAAAGTACAAAATGCTGTTCCAATTTCATAGTTATCTGTAATTCAGGTAAAATTCAGTTCGACCTGTCCAGTTCAGCTCGTGTTAGGCATGATGAGTAAAATATGGTGCTAACAGGAAACCGAACGGGGGCAACTGGCGTAGGAAGTTATTACATTAATCTACGTTCATGCGTGAAATCATAAACTATTAATTTGTAGTGTATGATATATGAGGTGTGATCTTTTCAAATTTGAGTGAAAGTGATTAATTAGGGGTAGCAGTTATCACGGTGGTCAAGTGATTACAAGTGGGACTGCCGAGCCAAGGATAGCGAATTAGATTTCAACTATTAAATTCTCGATTTTTGGTGCCTATGTATCAGATACTAGTGGACCCCACAATCTTTGTTTCGTCTTGAAAACTGTACTACGCACATTTGTTGATTTTTTCTTACATAAGAATCTTCATCTAACAATAAGAAACCCAATAAAAAAGAATTAGTAAATTGCGAAATCGGTTCAGCAGTTCTCGAGATTTGTGTTTAGAAACCCATATCTTTATTTTATTATTAATTAATAGAAGAAAAATGGAATGTAACATCCATGAACTTTATACCAGTAATGTTTTGAGTCCTGTGTAATAGGGGGATAGCCAATTCTCCAATAAGCAGACATAATTCAATTCAGGGCACGTACACAAAACTGCGATGCGATGTGATGCGAATTCGCAACGCAGAAAATTACAACACGAATTGCTGCAATGCGATTTCGTACGACTAGGCGTCTCTCAGGGTGACCATTCCTTCGACGACCGTCAACCGTACTAAACGTATTTTAAATTGAAAAGTGGGTCGTGATATGGATCGTAAAAAAAAAGTGTGCACTTCTTTTATTGCTTGGAAGATAGAGGAAAAAGAAACAAAGAAGATTTTGAGAAGAGAAGGTTTTGATGCGCGATGCGAATCAATTCGCAAGTTCTTGCGATGCGTAGAGGGAGCTCGCACATTTTTGCGATGCGACGCCGCATCGCATTTTTGTGTACGATCCCTTAATAATTAATGCAATATAACCTATAACCAATTTTGATAATAAAGCCTACCTACGTTACATCGAATTTTAGAACTAGATACCAAGATTATTACTATATCTGAAACTAGATAAATATTGTTCTTGTAAATGCTGTTATAAAAATCATGTAGATACAATTACATATCATTTATCTACGCTAAATGTAATGCAGTCATTTTATGTACAAAGTTATGTGCTAACAGATTTATTGGTTTCGAACAAGCTCTGTAGTTTTAAAAGTGATATTTTACTTCTATATCTTTACGATATGTCAGTACTTTGGTACTGAAGTTGTAATATATCATTTAGAGTAGGTTGCAAAAAGATGTTCATAAAATTATGTTTAGTATTGAGTTTTTCAACAACAAATATAATAAATTCTCACCCTTACTGGCGTTAATAGGTATTCCAAATAATTCGTAAAATTATAAGGACCAAATGGTACATTGAAAACTTAAATTAAAATATATTTGTTATAGCCAACATGACAATGCCTACATTGTCATATATAGTCAATAATATAACTGCGCAATAAGTGCAAAAATATCGCTCGTTGAACAGCAGGCTTCCGATTTGTGCTTCTTTATAGTAAAAATTCAAATGTAGGTAGGTACAATTAAAATAAATAGTAAAAAATAAACAAAATCCTACTCATTTTGTGTACACAAAAACTCAATATTTATTTTCTTTAACTGTAAAATAAATAATGACCACTTTTTTAAGCTAAGTCGGTAAACAAGCAGACAGATCACCTGATGGTAAGCAATCGGCGCCACCCATGGTCACCCAAAACACCAAAAGTGCATTACCGGCTTTTTGGGGATAAGGAATTTGAGGATTATTGGGGATTCGGGGATTGGGGAGTTTTAAGAGGAAGGTCATTTTGTCCTACGATATCCTCATGTGTGAGTGACACACACTTACAGGAGGAAACACAACGCAAGTGTCGTTTCACGTCTAAGTTCTGTGAGGCCGAGACTTATCGTGACAGGAACATTTATGAAGATATTTATTTCGTTTTGTATTTTTTTCCATATTTACATCTCTGTTAATTAACTGAAAGCATAGAATCCTAATTCAAATTTCGTATACTTAAATAATATTTGATTCAATATGTAGGCAAACCTATGTATGTACCTAAATAGAAAATAAACATCAAAAAATATT